GACCCTGTTAGTCCTAGTGCCCTCGACAGCACCTACCTCTTCTCTGTGATCCTCCAGTTCCTGATTTATGGGGACTTTAGATGGAGATAGCTATGTATGCCTAATGGCTCTGATAAGCCAGTCCACTGGGACTGATTTCTCTCACACTGTCTCAGGTTATGCAGCCTTTACCTTAAGGAGGGGTGGGAAGTTACATCACTCAGTTTTCTTGTCTCCACAGTAGTCAGACTGATCCCATCTACTCCCATGATCCACAGCCTCACAAGCATGCTGTGACAGGCTCTTTTGTTGGCTTGTTTAAAAATCTTCTTTACTTCCAGTAGTTCAATCACTGAGTATTTGCTGATCATCCCAGTTTCTTACCTTGGACCATATTCTGGATCCTAGATTTTCCCTTTTTTTCTATTGAAGGTTGGGCCTGTGGGGTATCTTCTATTGGTTTTACTGTGATCTCTTCTTCACTCTGAATCTTACCATGGGTTCCAAGGTCTTGGATTGGAGGAAGGGCTTTTGAGCACCTATCTCTTTTCCTTTTCACCCCTGAACCTTAAGAAGTCAAAAGCCAACACCTCTATCCCATGCTCTTGTTTCTTTGCCAAATTAGAGTCTTAACACAGAGGATGCCAGTCACATCTGTCTTTCTTAATGCAATTGCTCTTTTGCGCAAACAAGTTCCTGCTTGGCCACCATTTCAGCCTCAGGTGCATTTCTAACTACACCTAAGAGTGACCAGGAAGCCTCTGCTGCTGCTTGCTGACAATCTTGACCCTTGTGTACTAATCTTAAAGACTGCAACATTTCCTCTAGACCAGTGGTTCTCAAGATTCCTAATGCTGTGGTGACTCCTAACCGTAAAATTATTTCAATGCTACTTCATAACTGTAATTTTGTTACTATTATGAATCATAATATAAATATCTGATTTGCAGGATATCTGATATGTGGCCCCAAGGGGGTTGTACCCCACAAGTTGAGAACCTGTTGCAACTTTTAACTGTTTTCAGAGCCTCTCCATATCCATATGGTGGACCCCACTCATCAAGCAGACATGCTACCCCATACCATAGAGACAAAGACTGACATCCTGGGATTTCTCCCATAGACATTCCTGATAGTTCAGCCTTAGTTTATGTCTCATTACCCATAGCAATACCCATGTAACCTCTAGCACAATCATAACACAAAAGTGCAATAACACAATAAAGGAAAGGACAACTATTGGAATTTCCTTTGCTGTTTCCCCACTCAGGTTTTTCAGCCTCAGTTGCATGCCTTGCTATCTGTCTTCGTTAGGGTTTTTATTGCTGTGAAGAGACACCATGATCATGACAACTCTTATAAAGAAAATATTTCATTGGAGTGGCTCACTTACAGTTCACAGGTTCAGTCCATTATCATCATGACAGGGAGCATGGTGGTGTGCAGGCAGAGGTGGTGCTGGAGTTGAGAGTGCTACATCTTGCAGGAAACAGGAAGTGACAGATACACTGGGTGGTATCCTGAGCATAGGAAACCTCAAAGCCCACTCCCACAGTGATACATTTCCTCCAACAAGGCTATACCCATTCCAACAAAGCTACATCTCCTGATAGTGCCACTCCCTATGAGATTATGTAGACCAATTACATTCAAACTACTGCATTCCACTCCCTGGCTCCCATAAGTTTGTAACAGTATCATAATGCAAAATGTATTTAGTTCAACTTCAAAAGTCCCTATAGTTTATCACAGCCTCAGCAGTGTTTAAAAGTCCAAAGTTCAAAGTCTCTTCTGAGATTCATGCAATATCTTAACTGTAATCACCTGTAAAAAATCAAATTAAAAAAAATCACATAATTTCAACATATAATGGCACAGGATATTCATTACCAGTCCAAAATGCAGGGAAGGGAAGCATAACAAGGAAATACTGGATCAAAGCAAGACTGAAAACCAGCTGGGCAAACTCCAAACTGCATTTCCATGTCTAATGTCAAAATGCTCTTCAGATTCCCAACTCCTTTCAGCTTTGTTGACTGCAACACACTTCTTTCTCTTGGACTGTTTCCACACTCTGTTAGCAGCTTTCCTGATCAGGAATTCTACAACTCTGGCATCTCCAACATCCTGGAGTCTCTAAGGCAATCCAGGCTTCAACTTCACAGTTTATGCAATGGCCTCTCTACTAGGCTTCTATTCAGGGACACCCCTGACACATGCCTGGCCTCAGCAGTTTTCTTTAGGTGCCAGAGGCAAATTCCATAACCCGTTTCTTCTATCCTTCAACCATATGGCCAAAGCTGCCAAGTTCTACTGCTTACTGCTTACTCCTTCAATTACATCATCACCAGGTTTCTGTCCTTCACTGCCTAAGCTTGGCTAACCTGAAAATGGATCTCTAGACCAGGCTGGCCTCAAACTCAGAGATTTACCAGCCTCCGCCTTCTGAGTGTTGCTATTAAAGCTGTGTACCACCATACTCAGCTCTAAACTTCAGTTTCTTTCCACAAGTTGGGAACTTAGTTGGATTCTTGCCCTGAGGTTACTACTCCCTTTATTCCGTTTCTTATCATTTATTTCCTTGAACACAAGATTTAGCTCCATTCCACTTCCTGGTGTTCTTTTTCCATTCCACTGCCTGGTATTTTTTTCTCCTCTAAATTTACATTTTGTAATTTACCCTGCTCAGCTTGCCCCTTTTCATTATAAATCTTCAGTAGAGTTACCACTAATATCCACATGACAGAGTCTACTAGGCTGTTTTGAGATTTCTTTTGTCAATAGAATTAATCCAAAATTCTTTGTTTTAGCCTCAGGCAGACTCTTTGGACAAGGGCAAAAGGCAGCCACTTTTTTCCCCACCAAAATAGTGACAAGAATGATTCTCTAGGCAACATACTGAATTCTCTTCTGAAACCTCTTGAGTGAGCCCTCAACAGTTCAGATAACTCTTAGCACCTCTGTCTTCCATGTTCCTACTATTAGGGCTCACTAAGTGCTTTCACAGTCCAAAGTACCAAAGTCCAAATTTCTCCAAACAAAAACATAATCAGGCCTATCACAGCAATATCCAAGTCCCTGATACCATCTTAGTTAAATACTTAACTTAAAAACTTAGGGTTTTTATTGCTGTAAAGGGACACCATGACCACTCCTAATAGTGTTACCCCTGTGAGATTATGGGGGCCAGTTACACTATCTATAGTCAGGACCTTGCACTCAGTTCTCCCCAGCTCTTCTTTGGTTCTGTCATGTTCTTGTTGGGGTGCCAATTACATTGTGTGACAAAACTGTTCCTGGGGATACACAACACACACATATAATCATCCCAGATAGGGAACCCTCAACAGACCAAAGTAAAGATACACCAAATTCCAACTTAGTGAATCAGTGAGGTACTTAGTGAATCAGTGAGGTTTACTGGGGTTACTTACAGGAGAGGGGTTACTTGCAGGTGAAGAAATGACTCAAAGATGGCTGTATAGCCAAATTCTACTCCAGTATGGGTGACGGCTCACAAAACTGGGAACCCAGAGCACACTGCACAACCTGAAAAAACAGGTGCCTCAGTTAGTCTAAACCTTGTAGTCAGCTCGTCTGGTTTCTGCTGCTTCCAGATAGCTACTCTGGTCTTAATCTTTGTAGCTCAGCTTGGCCAAGTGTCTTCTGTGCAGCTTGTCTCTTTCACTCTGGTAGGGAAAGACCTAGTAAGTCTGCTCAGTTTCAGGTACTTCCTGAAGTTCTTTTGAGTTATTTACCTTCTTGTTAAAAGAGCTTCCCTGCCTGAAGGTATTTTCAGTCTTGGAGGAAACCATTCCATAACACACAACACCATGTGGAGAAATTTGTGACCCGTGCGTGTCCTGCCCTGCTGGAGGTCAGTCAAGTAAAGGAAGTGAGAGGTGAACATTATGTTCAGAGGAACAGCTCAGTTCAGTGAAGGCAGGGACTGTGATATTTGAGTCTTTACCTGTAGCAGTTGTGTCCTGTGATTGAATAGTGTTAAAAGCGGTGTTGTAGAAGTGTAAAATAGAGATCATGGAACAGGTGATTTTAACCATATGATGTCTACTTAGCAATTTGAGTTTGCTACATAATATGATTGAAGATTATTCTGGTAAGATGGGTATGGTGTTTAAACCAGTGGGTTGTTAAAGTGCAGTTGAGGGAGATGAAAGGGTGTAGGAAGTGATTACTAACCAGGACACTACTTAGTGCATTGTGACAGTAGTACTAGTATACACCTAGTTGTATATCATGGCTTAAAAAATTCAAGAAAACTTTAAGAAGTAGGCAGTGTTAAATAACCAAGTTAGAACTCTGCCTCTAAGGTCATACTACTGCAAGTATGCCACTTTAGGTTATTTTGAGCATTAAATGAGGTGGTATAATGCCTGATAACATAGTCGAGTGGTTAATAAATATTAGCTGCTATTGTATTTTAGTAGGGAAGTTTTTTATCCCATCATTTAAAACAGTAATCCCATTTAACCACTAAAGATCTCACTTTAAATTTCACATGAAAGAATAAACACTTGTTTTAAGAGAAGGCAGGGTCTCACTGTGTAGCTTGGGCTGGTTTGGAATTCACTCTGTAGATCAGGCTGGCCTTGAACTCTGAGATCTGCCTGCCTCTGCCTCCCAAGTGCTAGGATTTAAGGCGTATACCACCAAACCCAGTCTTCAAGAGAAAAATTTAAGTAATGTAAACAGCCTGTAATATAAAATGAGTTTCTCCACAAATGTTCATCAAGTATTTGTAGAAATAATAGTAACAGATTGTAAAGCAGAGGATTAATTAAGTAATTGAATGAACTATTTTCAGTTTTCTTCACATTCTAAATGTACTGATGTTCACGAAGTTAAAGGTTATATCAATATTACTGTTTTAAACCTGCTAAATATGACTATTTTGATATTTCTAAAGAAAGGGAGGTATAATGTAGGTAAAAAGCATGACTGCAAAAATAAAATTTTACCAAACTATAGTGACAAGTAATTATTTTCATTCTTTTAAATAGGAAATGTTAAGAGATTTAAACCTTGGTGAAATGAAAAGTGGAGTGCCTGTGTTGGCAGTGTCCTTAGCATTGGAGGGGAAGGCCAGTCATCGAGAAATGACATCCAAGCTGCTTTCTGACCTTTGTGGGACAGTAATGAGCACAAATGATGTGGAGAAGTCATTTGATAAGTTGTTGAAGGATCTACCTGAATTAGCATTGGATACTCCTAGAGCACCACAGGTTTGTGGCATTTTCCTTTTTATTCACTTCCTTTCCCTTTTATACTTAAAACAGTAGAAATAATACCTGCTCCTAGCAAATCTTAATACCTAGAAGGGAAATGATGCACATTGCTTACCATCCAAAACATAGCTCTGCACATCTTCAGGTCTTTCCCCGCCAACTTTGTATTTTTTTTTTTTTTTTTTTTTTTGGTTTTTCGAGACAGGGTTTCTCTGTGTAGCTTTGCGCCTTTCCTGGAACTCACTTGGTAGTCCAGGCTGGCCTCGAACTCACAGAGATCCGCCTGGCTCTGCCTCCTGAGTGCTGGGATTAAAGGCGTGCGCCACCACCGCCCGGCCAACTTTGTATTTTTAGTATTGTCTGTTAGACCAAGGGCTACCCACTGCTAGGCAGTGCTCTACCACTGAGCTCTAACCTGCCCAGCCTTTCTACTGTTTTTCAAACAGTCTTGATGAAACTAAACTAGATTTTATGTCTGACCTCTTTTCCCAACCAGTTGTGCATTGTATTAGATCATATATAATACATGTATTTTCTGCTCATACATTTTTATTACATGTACACTGTTTTACCAAGAATTAACGTATGTTGCTATAACAGTTATAATTGACTTACTTGAGTGGCATTTATTAAAACAGAATTATAAGTAATAATGTCCCTTTTGTAACTTTGAAAACATGTAATTGCTGTTAACATTTGCATAAAAATCAATTTATAAAGAGTTACTAAATAAAATGGACTTATTTTCTTTCCCTTTTTTATATACACACTTGAAAATGATCATCTGAGTTTATATTAATTATAGAATTTTATAATTATTAATTTTAGAAGAAAGGTCAAAACAAAAAAAAACCCACAATAAACCTGTTAACATTTTGATAATTTTTTTATTTGTAGTTTTTTAGTTATTTATCAATATTCGTTTACCTTTATTTAATTAGAAAATGGAATTGTACCACATAGATTGTTTTGTAGATTTGATTTTTCTTACAGAATGCATCAAATATCTTTTCTTATGGCCTACAGTGTACTGTGCTTTGTATGCACTGCTTAACCACACCGTTATTGTCGTTATTGTCAGACACTGAAGGTGTTTCTAGTTTCTGTAGTAAATCATGCTGTGGTCATACTTTCAAATGAACATTTGTGCATAGCTTTTCTTCACAAGGTACATTTTATAGATGGTTATTTTATTTAAGAAATGGGAGTTGTTTTTCCTTGACTGTAGGTCATTTTAACAGATATTATTGATTATATGTTAAGAATGAGGCAGTGTGCAAAATATTGAGGATTAAGTAGTGAGCAAAACAGATGTAGCTTTCAAAAGTCCTGGTGGCATTAACTTGAAGGCCAATGTAAAGGAGTATAAGTCATGCATAACAAATGGATATTTTTGCATATCCCAACATGTATTTTAGCTGTTGTGTAGTTCAGCAAGTTTTTATCATTTATCCATTTCAAAATTGTGTCCTAATAAAGGTTTATTTTGGATTTGTTTTATTATTATTTTTTTTTACATAGTTCTCTTTCTTTCTTTCTAGTTGGTGGGCCAGTTCATTGCCAGAGCTGTTGGAGATGGAATTTTATGTAATACTTATATCGACAGTTACAAAGGAACTGTAGATTGTGTACAGGCTAGGTAAGTTAATTTTTGCTTCTTAGAATTTCAGAACAGGAAACTACAACATCCTGTAAAGTGACACTCACATCATCAGACATTGTAGTTGTCATTTATCTGTTCTTCATTGTTAAAAGAGTGTTGACATGAACTAACAAGAAGAGGACAGTAATAAAATGCAGGAATTCTGAGCCAATTTACTAGGTTTCCTCATTTCCAGTTAACCTTCTCTGGTCCTGATCTCCCTACTTGTGAAATGAAAGCATGGGGTGGATAGTGTTCACCGTGCCTTCTGGTTCTGACACCTGAAGTTAGTGAACCTTGCTTAGAATTCTGTAGAAATCTTTTCTTAAAATATGTGCTTTTCACTTTTGTTCTTTGATTTAATGAATTATAAGCCCAATGTGGTGTTTTACTTTTCTAAACTTCCTGGAGACTTAGATTTAGACAGCTATGCCTCAGATTTTCCTAGATACAGATACTAATTTTGTGGGGCTACTTTACATATAATGATAAATCCACGGAGTCTGTTTAAAGGGCAAAGGATTTATTAAGGGGAAAAACTCACTGTACAGAACAGAATTGATACAGGTTCTGGAATGTTGTTCCAGCTGCCTGGATCAGTCCCACAACCAAGTACCATGAGGGAAGAGAGTGATGCCTCCGTGCATCCCAGTTCTTAAGGGTCTGTGAGGCCACACCCCATGGGCATGTACTTCAAGGTCACAGTCATGTGGAGCAGTTACCTGCTGCATCTCTAGGGGTGGTGCTTCAAGGTCATAGATAGAACAGCTACCCACTACAGTGGCATGACCTCCTTGGGTGGGAAGGTGTGAATCTATATAAAAGTTGTATATGAAATGTTCCTTCCTGGTTATATGTCAATTATTTTGCAATGTATTTTGGTCTTTCTTGATGAGAAACAGATGTAAAGGAACGTGAGAATGTTAAATATTTTGCTACCTAATTTTTATTTGTAAAGTTATTTTCAAAAATCATATATTTTTTGTTATATAAAAGTTGTCAGTACATAGATACTTTGTAAACTATTGACAATGTATTATTAAACCTCAGGCATATCTGTGTATTAAAGTGAAAATTTTTTTTTTTTGTCTTTTGGTAGAGCTGCTTTGGATAAAGCTACTGTGCTTCTGAGTATGTCTAAAGGTGGAAAGCGCAAAGATAGTGTGTGGGGATCTGGAGGCGGGCAGCAGTCTGTCAATCACCTTGTTAAAGAGGTACCTAATAAGCATTGTTTTCAACTTACATGTGTTCCTTTGAAAGAGAAAACAATAAGACAACTACTAGGTAGTATTTTTGTGGGTAAGAATTCAATGTGGTCATATACCTGCAAGTAAAACAATGGAATAATCTACAAATTAGAAAATAATTACATAATTATTGCTATTTTTACCTTTTTTGAGACTTAATGGTATGACTATTAAGAGGCCTGTCATAAATCTTAAGAACACTGTCTCTGAACATCTAAGGGATGCCTGAAATCTTGTTTATAGTAGTATTTTGTCTTAACTTAAAATGCTATTTCTTTTTAAATTATTCAATAAGTATATATAAATAAGCAATTTGGGTAGTCTGAGATTACAAGTTAGGAATTATGAACATTAGAGTAGATCGGGGTCGTAGATATAAGGATCTTCACTACATTTGTTAAAAGAAAATTTAGTAATTGAGTTATTTCATTAAAATGCAAGTTTTGCTTCCTATGGATTTTTCTCTCATGTTCTTTATCAAGTGGAAAAAAAAAATGTAATGTCTTAACTGCACATCTTGGAGACCGGCAGTTAGAACATTTATAGTTTATGTACTTGTTTTAGTGTACTCTTTATTTTGATTTTTAATTAGTTTTTTGTGTGTATGCATGTTCATATTGTGTGTGTGCATGTGTGTCTGTGTTTTAGTCCAGAGATCAACCTCAGGTCTCATTCCTTAGGAACTGTCACGTTCTCTTTTGTCCCAGTCTTCACTAGGATCTTACCTAGAGCTAGGCTGGCTGGACAGCAAGCCCCAGGTATCTCCTTGTCTCGGTCTCTAATGCTGAGATTAGAAGTGTGCCATGCCCAGTGTTTTCCATGGGTAATGAGGATCAAAGTAAGGTCATCAACTTGCACGAAAAGCACTTAATTGACTGAGCTGTTGCCTTGACCCTCAGTCTCTTTGACGTCTCCACTTTAAGTGGGAAGGAGCTCACATGGGCAGTTACAGTGTTGACTGGTTTGCTTTTACATAGGTTGGAGTAGATAGATATGTCAGGTCATGATTGCATTGTCTTTTAAAAATTGGAAGAATTATAAGAAAAGTTAAAATATAAAAGTTGTTAATATCCTAGGGATATTGGGCAAGGAAATGCAATAAAGGGTATCCTGACTAGAAAGGAAGATGTAAAACTAGCTCTATTCTCAGACGAAGTGATACATAGGTTGAAGAATCCAGGTGAATCTACAGAGAAACTCCAAGAACCCAAACTTAACCAATACTTTAGCAAATTTGCACAGTAACAAGATCAGTACATGAAATTTAGTTCTTTATACATTAGGATTGAATGAAAATGTAGTGTATTTATAAAAGCGTAAAAATAGAATATGATGAAAATTAACAAAGGAAATTCAGGTCTTAGACACTAAAAACTGAAAACATTGAAAGATACGATACATTTATGGATTATAAGACAATATTGTTAAGATGATAATACTCTCTGAAGGTGATATTTTGAGAAATTGACAGACTCTTAGAATATGTGAATTATCTTTTAATTAAAAAGAGATTGAAAATAGAACAATATATGAATTAGAAATTGGCATTACTTTGGGTTCTCATTTAAATGGGAGCAAGGGTTCAAATAAAAGTACTTCCACTTTTTAAAAAATAAGTATTTTTTAAAGATTTATGTATATGTATGTGTGGGCCTATCTGTATGTAACGTGTGTGTGCGCGCGTGCACGCGCCAGAGAGGCCTTTGCCCCTCTGTAACTAAGTTAGGGGCAGTTGTGAGCTACTGTGTGGGTACTGGGGACTGAACCCAGGTCCACCACAAGAGCTGCAAGTGCTGCTAACCACTGAACTGTCTCTTCAACCTCATGTTCACTTTCTTAATGGCATAACAGATATAACTTAAGTAATACATATCTTACAGTTTTTAGTAAAAATACTAGAAATAGTAAATATTTATACAAAATATATTAAGTATATAAACATATATTTATGTTAACTATTCTTTGTGTATGTGTGTAGTGTATATGTATTGTATGATGTGGTGCACTCATCATATGAGGCATGAGTTTTTTGCGCCTGTGCACATATGGACATAAGGTGTCTTCCTCTATTACTCTCTACTGTCTTGCCTTGAGACAGAGTCTCTCACTCAGCCAGTGATATTTTATCTTGACTTACTACTGGCTAGTGAGCTGCTGTGATCCCCCCCGCCCAGCACTGCTGGCATTACATTTATGCTCAATAATGCCTGCTTATATTCTTTATGTGAGTGTGGTCTTCATGCTTGTAGTGCAAGCGCTCTTACCCACTGAGCTGATCCCTGGCCTCAAGTACAGACTTTTTAAAACAAAAAAGAAATTACTAATTAAGATGTAGTTGAGTGGTAGAATTTTACTTTATTTTTTTATTTTTTTTATTTTTTCATTTTTTTTTGTTTTTTTCGAAACAGGGTTTCTCTGTGTAGCTTTGCGCCTTTCCTGGAACTCGCTTTGGAGACCAGGCTGGCCTCGAACTCACAGAGATCCGCCTGCCTCTGCCTCCCGAGTGCTGGGATTAAAGGCGTGCGCCACCACCGCCCGGCGAGATGCTGAGTTTTAAATCCTCAATTGTAGAGAAAAGAGAAACTGGAAATCTTTGTTCTTGTAGTAATGCTCCATCATCTCTTACCTTTTGGCTCTCATTGCATTAAGACCATCCTGATACTTGTTGGCATTCTAAAAAGTGAGGAGACTTTACATTAGTGCCCTCTAGTGGTGTTTAACCCCCTGCCCTTTTCAAAGATTTTTTTTTTTTGATTGATTGTGTGTGTGTGTGTGTGTGTGTGTGTGTGTGTGTGTGTGTGTGTGTGAGATCTGCAAGAGCATTGCATGCTCTTAATTGCCAAGCCATCTCTCCAGCCCCCAGATCCTTTATTTATTTGTTTTTTGAGACAGTTTCTCTGTGTAAAAGCCCTGGCTGGAACTCACTCTGTAGACCAGGCTGACCTCAAATTCAGAGAGCTCTACCTCTGCCTCCGGAGTGCTGGGATTAAAGGGTTGTGCTACCACTGCCTGGCAAATCACTTATTTTTAATAGGATGCATTGGAGCATTATAGCTACAAGCTAGGTCATCTACATTATAAAACCTGCTTGTAGATACCAGTAATTCTTTTGAAAAGTACTGCATTTGCTTTATAAACGAAACATTCAAAGCATGGGAATTTAGTTTTTAATTATGAAAAAGTTCTTTATGACACCACCATGTCAAATCCCTATGTTCAATATTGGTGTGAATGTAAATAAATCACATCTTTTAAAAATTAGGAATTCTAACATTTCAACTTTTAAATCTCATAGATTGATATGCTGCTTAAAGAGTATTTACTCTCTGGAGATATCTCTGAAGCTGAACACTGCCTTAAGGAGCTGGAAGTACCTCATTTTCACCACGAGCTTGTGTATGAAGTAAGATTACATTCTCACACCAAAGAGGATTGTCAAGGGTTCTTACACCATAGTGACCAATGTTTATTTAATAATACAAAGATTTTTTTCCCTTAAATATACTAAAATGATAAGTTTATGTAATCATTACAAAAACCATATAATCACTATATGTTAGAGGAGAGATCTGATAACATTTTTAGGAGGAATTTCTCATGAATTGATGAACAAAAATTAATTTATTCTTTTTCAATTTTTAGGCCATTGTAATTGTTTTAGAATCAACTGGAGAAAATGCATTCAAGATGATCTTAGATTTATTAAAATCCTTGTGGAAGTCTTCTACCATTACCATAGACCAAATGAAAAGAGTATGTATGACATTATTTTAAATAAGTTTTTAAAAGGCTTATACCTGAACTATATAATTGAATAAACGTTATGAACTGTTCATGAAAATTTCTTTTAGTGCATGTGTAGTATGCCGGTATATTTTGTTTGACTTTTTAAATCTTTTGGTTGGGTTTTTTTTTTTTTTTTTTTTGGTTTTTCGAGACAGGGTTTCTCTGGGTAGCTTTGCGCCTTTCCTGGAACTCACTTGGTAGCCCAGGCTGGCCTTGAACTCACAGAGATCCGCCTGCCTCTGCCTCCCGAGTGCTGGGATTAAAGGCGTGCGCCACCACCGCCCGGCGACTTTTTAAATCTTTTGGATGTGAAACTTGTAACTAGTTTTGGAAAACAACACTTCAGTCTTTATTGTTTTTAAAGTATAGTTGTTTAGTGTGTGAGATACGATATTTTCCTTTTCTTACACCTAGAAGAAACATTTAAGTTGCATTTCTTGTCCTACTTAAAATTGTACGTGTTTTTTGAATGGTGATATTTTTATACAAGATGGTAAATGTAGATGGGGAAATAGGGAATTTGCTCATTGTCTGATATTTGCCTAGTGCTTTTTAGAGAGTTTTTAAAGAAAGCAAATATACTTTATTTTCAAGGTTCAAATCTTGACTTGTTTTGCCAGTTTGCACTGTATCAGTTTATGGTACAGTGGTGGGTTGTTTCATGGCATCATACATTTTTATACATGCTAACAATTGCATATATACTTTTGTTCTAGGGTTATGAGAGAATTTACAATGAAATTCCAGATATTAATCTGGATGTCCCACACTCATACTCTGTGCTGGAGAGATTTGTAGAGGAATGTTTTCAGGCTGGAATCATTTCCAAACAAGTCCGAGATCTTTGTCCATCAAGGTACTATGTTTAAATACTATCTCAGTGTAAAATACTGAATGAGATACTTGGGAAGCTAAGATAGTTTTCTCTCTCTCTTTTTTTTTTTGGTCATTCTGCTGTCAGAAAAATGAAGTAGTATCTATCTTGAAGTGACTGGAAATCAAGAACTGTCTACTTAAGTAAGAGTTTATGGAGAAACAAGTGTGAATCTTGTTTGTCCCCTTGGAACTGTGGACAGGACTACCATTTGGAGGGAACTAACTTTATATAGCATAGATGTTTACCAGGTTGTTAGTAAATATTTAAGAGTAGGTATTATCACTAGAAACACAGAAAATTGAAGATTATTTAATGAACCTTCACTGTCTGATGACTAGTGCATTGTATAGGCAAAGTTTGAATTCAGACTTTCTGAGACGTCAAAGGTCTAAACACTTTTCCTGTACTATGTAGTGGCTTCCTTTGCTTCCTGTGATGGAGAAACTTATTGTTAGAAACTGTGCATATGGGAGTGTTTTTCTTTGGAAGGAATTATATTTGTACTTCTAGGATATAACTTAAAGGAGGTGATAAGGGCTTTTCCTCTTAAAATTAATAAGGCTGTAATGTAGTAAGTTAAATATTTAGTTGTAGCCAAACTTACATTTTATATACATTTTTGTTTGTTCTTTTTAAGTCTGAAGAATGTAAGCTTTGAATTTTTGTTTTTGTGAAGAGTCTGAGATAAACTATTTCTAAAGTTTAGAAGCTCAGAGAGAGGAAGATGGTGGAGTAGGAATGTCTGGAAATGCAGATTGTGGATAGATGTCCTGTGTCACACAGCATCAGTGAAACTTCCATCTTGGCTCGGTCTCTTGTTGTCACTGTTTCATCCCACCCTGACCTTTGCATAGTCCTCAGCCTTTCTGTTAAGAACAAGAGCAGATTCCTGTCAGTACCTTATGGTTGCTTTTTAAGGTTTTTTTTTTTAAAGCTTGTGTTTGAAAGTCTGGTTATTTTTATTGGGGTTTTAACTCTGGAGTCATTGAAGAGTTCCTACAGTTGTATAGCATAATACCAAACAACTTTGACTTTTGTCCTCTCTTAAGCATTAGCTTTTTGTGTGTGTTAAGTGCACATGCATGTATGATCTTGCATGCTTGTACATTGTTGGTCTGGGGAAAGAGAGTAGGGGCTAATGCTGCAACAGGTCTGTTTATGCTTACAGATATAGGCTGCTGGCCAGCTGTTCTCTTGGGAGAGTGCTGCTACAGTAGCTAGAGTACAGTTACTTTAGTAGAGAAGAACTTGAGTTTTCAAATGACAGTCAAGAATCCTCTTATGGGGCATAGAGGCTAGAAGGAGCCAGATTCTCATTTGGTTGTCTACCAGTTAGGACTTTTCTAAGGTCAAGGAAAATTTAGTTATTAAACATTTTGGCAATATTATTTGTTAACATTTATTTATTCATTTGTTTATGTGGCTTTATGTGCTCATGTCATGGTACATATGTGGAGGTCAGAGGTCAACCGGTGGGTCCCAGAATTGATCATGTTTGCTGGCAAGAGCCCTTATCCACTCTGAACCACCTTGCTGGGCAAAACTATATTTTGTTGAATTCTATAGTTCCATACTTCTCATTCATGTTTAAAGTCCTTATGTTCGGCTCACTTGCTTTCACATAAGGTAGAAGTAAATACTAAAGTCTAATTAAAATGTCTTTATTTTCTATTTAACTTTTATTAATAACTAAGTAGATAAGGAAGTTCATTAGTAATTATCTAAGCTACTCATATTTGCTCTTTATCTAATGTTTTCTAAGGCTAAGGTATCTAGTAGGTAAAAAACATCTTTTCAAAGGAATTCAGACGTGCTGGCCTTGAAACAGCAGAACTCTTTAAGTCTTAAATATGTAAACAAAGAAGTCAAGGTTTTAATGTTTTCCATAGAATCAGATTTTTACCTACTCTTGTTTTTGTCCTTTTTGTTACAGGGGAAGAAAGCGTTTTGTAAGTGAAGGAGATGGAGGCCGTCTTAAACCAGAGAGCTACTGAACACAAGAACTCTTACAATCTTAGGTGTGATAACGGCAGATCTGAACTGTAAGAGGAGTTAGTGCAGTTTTTTTTTTTTTGGGGAGGGGGGCGGTCGGGTAACAAGGCATTTCTGAGATTTTATAAACATACATTTAATGGGGATTTTTGAAGGAAGTATTTTCTTTTTCTTTCTTTTTTTTTTTTCCTTTGAGGGGAAATTAAAGGAGGGACAGCGGAGTAACCTACCACTTAAGTGTGGACTATTCTGATAAGCTACTTTTTCTAAGTGCCATGTTCATGACCTAATCATTCCAAGTTCTGCATTGATGTCTGACTGCCACTCCTTCCTTTCAAGGACAGTGGTTTTTTTGTAGTAAAATCACTGGTTTATACAAAGCTTTAGTTAGGGGTGAAGTGACGCTACTAAGCCCCATGTTGGCTGCTGCTGTGGAAATGCTGTGCTTTGGGAGTAAAAACACACACACACACACACACATTTTTGTCTTAAAGAATTTTTAAAAGACGAGTTAGTCATGAGACTTTTTCATCTTTCCAGGGAACATATTGATTGGTCTTAAATACTAGACAGTTAAGTAAATGGTGGCTGGAACATCTATTTTTCTACAAAACTGGAAAAATGAACCCGGTTCTACAAGAATGTACAACAAAATAAACCGTGAAGCAGTGTTGACTCTTTAGTGGGAGTTCATTTATTTTGTCTCTTGAAAACGTCTTTTAGGCTTCCCGTCTAAACCTCATTAGGCCTTGTGTTCAATCCTAACAGTGTAAGACAAACAAAAATGTTTTGTTTTTCCTTGAGACAGAGCCTTGTTAATGTATCTCTGGCTGGCCTGATAACTCTTTAGGTAGTCCAGGCTGTCCTCAAACTCATGGTAGTCTTCCTGTGTCTATTCAGTGTCCTGAGTGTTAGGAATAAAGGCATGGACCACCATGCCTGGCTTTCAAAACAAGTATGTTTGAACTTAGTAAATTCAAGTTATGACAAGCTTTCTTTTTAACCTTCAGATTTTAATTAAAAAAATAAAACAGGACTAGAGAGATTGCGAAGCAGTAGTGAGTACTGCTGCTCTTTCACAGGACCCAAGTTGTATTCCTAGCACCTACATTGGGTGGCAGCTCACATCCTCCAGTAATTTGAGCCCTCTTGGTACCAGATGTTCTCTTGTGGCTTCTATGGACACTGCACATAGGTGGCATATACACGTACACATAAAAATCTTACAGCAGTGTAATAGTTGAAAAACTGCCTTTTAAGGTTATACTAGGGAAATATATGTATATTTTCATCTTTTGTTTACTGATCTGGAGATTAATGAAGTTTGTCTAATATATAAATAGCTTTTATATTTAAGTTCTGTTAACATGTTTAAGAAAGCATTCTCCAAGTACTTTATCTAAATACCAATTTGTAATTACCAATAAATAAGTTACTTTAAAGAGAGAGCCTATTTCTAGCCTCTTTTATAAAGGCTAATTACTTAGCAAGGTTTTAAGGTCTGTGGTAATTGAAGGTGTCTAGTAACTGCAGTAAACCATTACATTTATAATTTTCAGAATAGTTCCTTGGTTACAGGGCTTGATAAGAGTCTTAGAAAGAAAACTCTACTGTTCATACTTCATGGGCTCTTCTAAGCTCATATTGCTTAGGTTTATTACTGTGATGGCTATAATAAGCATTTCTAGGTTTTTGTATTTGGCACTCAAGTTATACAATTCTCTATTTCTTAAAATTAGTGTAATTAAAAGCTTAATTGACTCCAGAATAGCTAAAGGTTTCTCAAAATATCAAATTGGTTTAAGAAACCAGTTTTGTTATTGCTGCTGTCATTATGGTCAGGCTACATACCATTAAACGTAACATGAACATAACTGGTTAAGTTGGTTTTGGGGTAATATGTAAGCCCAACAGTGTATTCAAGAACAGAGTTTATTTTCAGATCTAGGTGTCTAATAAACATGAAGAAATCATTTATCCATAAAAGATGCATTTAATTTCTTACATTCATAACAATAGGTATGGCAAATAAGGTAATTTATAATTTTAAAAACTTTTCCAAAATCCCCCAACTTGATAAAAGCTTTCTTTTTAACATAAACCAATGTTTAAGTTCCCCAATTTTTTTTTTAAAATTATGAATGTCCAGTTTGATTATATATTTTCAGCCTATATTTATAGAATAGTTTCTAGTTCCTGAACAGGTAAGATGGGGCGTCCATCCCCTTAAAGTGGTACTCGTCACTGGGCTCTTTGCCGGTCTTCTTTTTCGGCCATTTCTTGTTGGCGGATTGTATCCTGTGCTGCTTGCTGCATTTTCTCCAGTTTTTCCAGAGTCAGAGATTTTAAGGGTAAAAGTTTGGGTTTACACAGCACCATTGTGGTTACATCTTCCACAGACAACTGCCCTATTAATAAGAAATAAGAAGTTAATTTGAGAAAGATGCCTGGTGGTTTTGATTTGCAACTAGAATGTAAGTCTAAAATCTTACTGCCAATGAAAAAGTTTCTGCTCCTGGACTGACAAAGCAGTAATCCCACAAGCACTGTTTCTCACTACTGAAGAGTCAGGAAACAAGAGCTGATACACAACAGAGCTGTTTGGGCCAAATGTTTAATTGGAAGAATATATACACAACACAAAAATATAGCACATGAATGCTCAAATTATGAGTTGTTTAACTGGAATGGTTAGCTTTTCTTACTAGAGTTTGATTTTAGGTTACTTTCCCCATATTTCCAATCTTCCTTTGAATTCCATTTCACTGAGACTTTCACATTATATTCTGCACTGACGTATAACAGGATTTATAGTTATAAGAAACAGTTTTTAATTTGGTGTCCTTTTGTTGAAAAAAGTGAGAATTTCTTTACAACCTACGCACGAAAACATAATAGACGGGAGAGTGGACAGTAAGTGAGGCATGTAACCACAGTAGTTGCAGATACTTAGCTATTCTTCTGTGTGATATTGCCCATCACCTGATAAGTCTCTAGTAGTCTATAGCCAAAATACCTGTGAGATATACCTTGTTTTGGAAGGACTTCATGGAACATCGACTTCACTTCTGCCATCTATAACTGCTGGATACAGTGCTTTTGCTCCTTCAATGAGAAATCAATTACTAATATTAAAATTCCCAACGAATACTTACTAGAGACCATAACTGAAATCACAAATACTATAGAAAGTAAACTACCCTACATGCAAGATTTTCTCATCAGTTTTCTGTGATTTTCCTCTAAAATAAAGGTGAGATATTTTATGTGTATCAAGATCTTGTCAATATTTATTCAATAGTGAGTAATTGAAATGTTACCTAACTTCTTTTCCCATCCTAAGAAAAAATTGGTAAAACTTCTGTTTTGTTTTTGTATTTTTTAATTTAATTTTATTTTTTCGAGACAGGGTTTCTCTGTGTAGCCCTGGCTGTCCAGGAACTCTCTTTGTAGACCAGGCTGGCCTTGAACTCACAGAGATGTGCCTGCCTCTGCCTCCTGAATGCTGGGATTAATGGTATGTGCCATCACTGCCTGGCATTTTTTTTTCGTTTTAAGAGGAAATCATTCAGTTGAGAAAAGGCATATAGGAAGCCATCCTGGTTCACTGACAGCTTCTCTCCCGAGGAGGTACTGACACCACTGAAACTACCACACTACCAACTGAAAAGGGGTGAAGAACAGACAAAGAGGTGGTAATAGGCAACGTTTCCTTAACATTCTTTCTCTTAAGTTGCTAACAGCTGATTTCTACTTTTCAGTTCCTGACTGCACAGCTATAATCTGTAAGAAAGCAACACAACGGGTAAACAAGCTAGAAACAGACATGAAGTATGCTTTTAGCAGTCCTACTGAGATACTATATTCAAAAGGACCAGGATACACCTTCCTATTAGCATTGTTATCGCTATGTAAGCATATGCTACCTACAGCCCTTGCAACAAATGTTACATCCCAGATTCAACTATACTGTCTGCTCTAAGTGTCTGGATCAAGTTGTGGAATAATGCCTTTCTAAATATGCTTTTCCAGGCAGTGCCACCCATTTAGTGATGTTTCACTACACTGACGCAACCTTACTATATGTCTTTCGCAATGTTACTACCAAGATTTATTATTTATAAGGTGGTGATGCTGGCTTGGTGCCTGCTTTTCCACCCACTGCAAATTAATTATAACCAAGTGAAGCTGCTTTTGTTCTTTGTCATTCTTGTTCCACTATTTAGTCCTAATAAAAGCTTTCTACTTTGTATCCTTCAAGTGATTATCTTCTCATTCAAATTGCTTGAGAATGTCTAGGTTCCTGAGAACTTCTATCTGCTTTGCAGAACTCCTATCTTCAAACTTTATTCCTGTTCTCTCTCTCTGCTCTACCAGGGAGAGTACATGATATAAGGAATAGGCCAGGAAAGCCACTCATCACTAAATGGAGTGTGAGGTAAGTGTACTATTGCAATTCCCTTAGAATGCATAGCTCCTAATACATGCTTCCTTGTTATTTAGGCCTGAAACCTAATACATCCTTTTTCTTCCTGGTTAAGGCTGATAGCAGTGCATATCCTTGATTAAACTGAATATAGCTACTGAACCCCTAACCTCTCCATTAAAAACATCACAATGAAAAAATACTGTGCCTGCATCAGGTACAGACCTGACATGCCACTGAAAAGGATGGGCGTTACTGATTTTGAGAAAAGTAAAGCATAACAACTATTTTCATACATACCACCAAAATGCTGTCTATCTTGGTAGGTTAAGTTTTAGCTGTTTATAAAAAGAGCAACCCCAACTTTGTATAATTAAATCACTACCCTTTGTTTTCCTTTGGTTTGTACCTCTTACACATCCAAAATACAGCCTGAGGAAAACAGTGATACTTGGTGCTCATTTCTGTTTGAGCCATTGTTAGTGGAAAGGGTGTGGGGCTGGCGAAGAGTGGGTTGACACTTGTGAGAGTAACATCAGCGCCTTCATTTGCTTACGTGGTTTCTGCTTTAGTAGGACTGATTCTTATTCTAGGCCCCTTAGGCCTTGACAGGAGAGAAACAGGAAGGGAAGGGCTAAAATAAGCAAAGTGGAGATCTGATGGCTAGCATTGGCCAGGATACACAGTTTTGATAATTAACTGCCCTGGGAGTCTAGAACAGGAAGGAACATCCCCCCCCCCCCCCCCCCATAGCAGTCTGCCATTATCCAAACACAAGTGTTTGTAGGGTGTAGTGTTTTCTAAGGAGTTGTGGCTACTTCTAAGCTCATTATCAAAGCAGATGGGGTGTATACAAAACCAGAGACGGATGGATCAAAAGAGAAATACAACAAACACCTATTAGTGAAATGTGTATTGAAAAACTGCCATGACCATTCAGTAAATGAGGGCCTACCATGTGTCAGACAATGTTCATCAGTGCAAATAAAAATCTTTTGCCTTTTGTAGCCTACAGCTGGGGGAGAAGAGAAACAACAGAAGGTAGCTAAGTGCAGCTACAAGTTTAAACTGAATGGGGGAAGAGGGCAATCCAGTTATAATAAGAAAATCATGATGGTCCCATTAGGATGACACTTAAGCAAAGAGTTGATGTGTGTGAGTTTATGTGCTATGCCTTGGAATTGTGGACAGATCCAAAGCCTGCTAACTTCCACAGTGAAAGAAGGGTTATGGAAATGGAACCCTCTTTCAGCTTTTTTTATAGAGCTACTTTGCTGTATCTCCTAAAGCCAAGCATTCTTCAGAGCTATCATCCCTAATAAAACTACAGCAGAATGCTTAGGAGTAGGGATGCCCATTCAGCATTGCATTAAAATGACATTGACTAGCAAAATGTTTAGCAATACTGAGCCCACTTTTTCACCAACTGCCCAAGAGTTAAATTATGGGTTATGTATAGACTAGAATACTATCTCAGAATAAGAAATGATCCAGATTGTGATGGCACATTAAGACAAATATTAAAATGAAGAAGTAAACTTACTCTTACCATATTGGAACTCAGATTTTTAACACTGCTAAATGCAGTGTCAATAAACCATTGTTTGAAGCCCTTGGTCTGGGTAACTGGAAAAGTCTGACGCTTCCTTTCCTTTTTAAAGTTGGTAATCACTCTCAGAGAATATAGTTCTGATGGGCAGTGTACCTCAAAATCCTGAGAAGGTATGCAAATCTACCATAGTACTGGATGTCTAAAATGAATGCAAAAGAACTCAAAGGAAAACAAAACCTTTGTCATAAGGTATTTCACTGTTTTTGGAGCATTGAAAGACTTGTCTAAGAAAGTCTTTTAAAATCAATCATGTATCTGGACAAGTTGGAAGAGAAGATCACCAAAATGTGTAGCAGGAATCTTAAAAAGTTCTTATCAATAAAAACAAACCTGAGCCAGGTATTGGGGTGAACTGGAAGATCAGAGAACCAGAACAAGCCACAGCTACCTCACCTCGCCGGATCCTCAGCTGGTCTTGTTTCCTCAGACTGGAGGCCTCTGAGTCCTCATCCAGAATGGCTCTCAGCTGAACTGCTGCTAAAAGCCTAAAAGCTTAACCAGGCCAAATGCTTCTAGTTCCTGGTCTTCATGCCTTATATACCTTCCTGCTTTCTACCATTACTCCCTGGGATTAAAGGCGTGAGTCACCACGCTTGGCTGTATCCTTGAACACATGAATTTCTGCCTCTGCTAGGATTAAAGGAATGTGTGCTACCACTGCCTATCCTAAATATCTAGTGGCTTTTCTGTTCTCTGACCCCAGATAGGTTTATTAGGGTACACAATATTTTGGGGAACACAATACCACCACAAAAGTGTCCTTTTTAACTTTGAGAATGCAAGCTGTCTTCAATTCTTACCTCAAGAGTCTTAGAGACATTTTACATGTTTCTAAATTGACATTTTTCATTTGCAAAAGTTATAAAGGACATGATTTCTACATACTTAATATCAGTTTTTTAAAACATTCACTGTAAACAGCAATTTGGTAGCTAACATTTTTTTTTTTAAATGAAGTTCTTCCTTAGAGATTTTGTATTATTTTATCCCTAGATCTCTTTATTTCTATCACAATTTTAATCTAATGTAACATTTTCCCACTTGTTATGTTACTGATCATACTAGATTATTAGCTGGTTACAAAATGATATTTAAAATGTATTTTAAATTATAACTTTAAAATACACATTGATAAAGTTATTGCCCACACATCTGTTATTAAGGAGACTTCTCAGTTCACATATGCTTGGCTGAGAATTTGTTTGGATTGCTACAATCTGACTTTTTATTTTTCCAGGCATTGCTACAGTCTGACTTTTCCTTTATACAGGTATAAGTACTGAGATGGGAATGGGAAAATTTTTTGTTCAAGTTTTGAACTTGTTATATATTTAAAAGTCATAGTGATCTATCACTAATGATTTGTTTTAGTGAACAACAAACTAGTAAATTAAGTTTTCCTCACCGTGCATGTTAGGCAAGCATTTTACCAATGGGCTGCATCCTTAGTGCCTACATTTCTGTGAGTAGTTTTGGAAGCGGAGCACTGAGCAGTTCCTCTTGTGAAAGCTCAACCTTACCTAATAATTCCAAGCCCTTAGTTAAGAGCTTTATTTACTTACTGTCCCTGGCACCCAAGAGCTTTCATCCCTTGAAGCATTTCATTGTAGTAAAATTCTACACTGGCTGGAAAAATGCCTTTTTCCCTTCTTTTTGTTGTTGTTAGGTGATTGTGAAGGGAGGGGTAAAGGAAATAAGACTAGGCATGATGATCTACAGGCTCTTTTTTTAGGGAATTAAGCATCAGAAACTTCACATGGGAGTTAACGGTCTCCACGTTCGTTACTCTTAGCCTTGCTTGCCTTCATTCTGCCCTGATTGTCTTTAGGTGTCTGGAAGCATGTGTACCCTGGCATAAATACTACTGATTTGTAAAATAAATCACATTATGTTGTACTTAGAGAGATTAATAGATTTTCTGAAAGAATTTTATAGTTAACTAAAATTTGAGATGCTCTATGAAGGAAAAATGATTTTTCTTTTTAACAGCAAGACTTTCCTGAAACTTCAGTATACCAAAGTATGTAATGAATCTGCAGCAGGAGAAATGAAAATGTATTATTTGTCAAACTTACTTGATCCTGGACTCCTTTAAAAATGCTCTATGGTACAGCATCTACTACAGCATACTAGATGTGTCATAAGACACGAGGTGGAGCACACACTAAGGAAACACCATTATTTACAATATAATAAAGCTAATTTGAAATCATTTTTTTTTTCTGAATAATTTGTAAAGGTCAATCCAAGATGGTTTATCTTCTTTCCTTAGTAAGTAGAAAGTTTAGACACTCTTGGAAAAAACTGTCTTTTACCACTACTTAAATATGAAAAGAGAAACATTTTTCAGAGTATTTGAGGAATTGACAAAAATAACAGCTGTTTGCTGTTGCCTGTCAGAAGAACACTCTGTGACACAAGTATAGCATTTTGACAGTTGTTTATGTATTGTGTGCACATTAGACATACAGTGGCTAGGGTGGATGTCAGGTGTCCTCTCTGTTGCTCTCAGTATCTTTAAGACAGGGTCTTACACTGGCCACCACAATCACTAAAACAGTTTGAAGACAAAAGGACCTGAATAGATGTAAAAGTTGTTTTAGGAGGACAACTGAGGCTCTTAATATAGGCTAGGACAGGTAATGGATATTTCAGTCTTGGCAACCAGCTGGATCATGGAATCAGAGAAGAAAAAAAGGAAGAATGGATGACAAGGTCATGCTCAGGTTTGGCTATGTGAATGAGGATATATTTGTAAGTCTTAGGAGGAAACGTGCTGTGTAATGACCTAGGCAGTAAAAGTGCTTGCTTGAGGTTGACCCTTGGAATCCACGGTAGCAGGGAAGAACTGATTGCTGAAGGTTTTGGCTGCATATATGCTGTACCATATGTGTATACACACATAGAACACATACACCATACACCCAATAGGCAAAGGGATGTTTAAGTATGGAATGGAATATTGAAGGAGAAGCCAAGAGGATGGTGATAGTGCAAACCAGCAAAAGCAATGGTATACATATTTTCCTTTAAGCAGCAATTTCATAATAACAATATCAATAAAGGACTTTGAAAGCAAAAGACCAAGGTTTATATGAACTTGTTAAGAGTGTGCTCTTACGACATCTGTTAGACTTTAATGTAGACATATATAGATCTCTAAAGTGGCCACACAGTAAAAGCTTATGTACTAAAACCATACCTTCTAGCCTATAGAAAACATAGGTATCAGGGAACTGGATGACTTCAAGGTATATAAAGTGATCCCTTTTTAAAAAACACATTGTAGACAGGCAAGCTTAGAAGAGACAGCATGGGCATTGGGATCAGTAAGGGAGACACAATTGTTTCAAGATGATGAATCTACAAAATCAATGAGAACAGATGTTAAGATGCAAGGGATGTTCAATAAATCTCCCCTACCATTCTACTTACCACTCTCTTTGGGTGATAAAATGATTAAAGATGACTGAGTAAAGCTAAAATGGTTGGACTGTGCAGGTAGTAATTCAAATTTGAAAGGAAGAATAAAGACCATGTATGGTGGTTTGAATGAAAATGACCCCCATTGGGTAATAGATTTGAATGCGTGGTCACTAGGGAGTGGCACTATTTGAAAGGTTTAGGAGGTGTGGCTTTATTGGAGGAAATGTGTTACTGAGGGTGGGCTTTGAGGTTTCAAAAGCCCATGCTAAGCCCAGGGTCTCATGGCCAGTGGATAAGGACGTAGCTCTCAGTTACCATTTCTGCCTGTATGCTGCCATGCTTTCTGCCATGATGATAATGGACTAAACCTCTGGAACTGTAACCAAGTCCTCATTTAAATGCTTTCTTTTATAAGAGTTGCTTTGGTCATGGTGTCTCTTCACAGCAATATAACACTGACTTAAGACACCACAATTCAGATTTAGGTTCAGTAAGTGTGTAAGTCCAATTGGAAGATAGGAATGATCGAGGAACAGAGAGTCAGCTGCACATCAGTATCAACGATAGAGGTACACTCAATCACTCAAGGATGTGGAAAATGGTGGGTGGTGGGATTAGCGGTAAAGACAAGTATACACAGCAGTTAAGAGAAGCACTTTTTCTTTTAAAGCATTCTAGGATTTTGCTTATTTTGTATGCATGTAGGTGCATACATGTCATACTAATGCATGAAAAATACAGAATTCATATAAAGCCTCACATCAATTCCTAGCACATAGAGCTGAATGAATATTAGTAATTCTTACTGTACTGTACCACTATAATGATGTCATAAAACTAGATTCTCAGAAAAAATGAAGTCTAAAAAAGAGTTATGGGGGCTTATTACTAATATTTAATGAAGAAAAATGTACCAGTAAGGAGGAACATTTCAGAATTATTCACCCATCATCCCACCCACTATCAACCAGGCCAAAACCTGCTTAGCTTCTGAGGTCAGTCCTGTTCACAGTGGTATGGCTATAGATGCCCATCATTCTCTATACAGCCATACTCTCTTAGTAATGATCTTAAACACAGATTAGTTTAAATGCATCTAGCTGGGTTGTGGTGGCACATGGCTTTAATGCCAGCACTTACCTGGGAGGTAGAGGGAGGGGGTATCTCTTGAGTTTGAGGCCAGCCTGGTCTACAGAGTGAGTTCCAGGACAGCTAGGGGTACACAGAGAAACCCTGTCTCGAACAAAACAAACCAAACTAAAGAATTAATATATCTGTATGTACCTTAGCTTCATAGTATCAGTGTTTAGTGGAAAGTTGCACATACTAAGACATTTGAGCAGAATGTGTGTGTGTGTGTGTGTGTGTGTATTTTTCACCTCAAAAAGGTAATGTTAGAATTGAATTACGTTGGGTGCAGCCAAAAAATAAGAAAACTTGAATTACCCACCTCCCATTCGTCCTCCAATATATAAAAGTGAACTGTAAAAGACTAAAAAGAAGTAATCATGTCTAAGATTATATAGTTGTTAAGTGAAGAAAAAGGACTTGGACTCTCATCTTCCATAATCCATTAACCTGGTCCTCTTCTCAGTTTTCTCTATGCTACATCTGGGTAAATAGCTTGGAGGCCCATCAAAAGAACACAAACATTTAAGATGTTAGACGAGAGAAGAGACCTCAGTGAGTAGAAACCAGTGAAGGCTAAAGTAATACATCGTCACAATCTGTTGGAATGGGCAGTTTTTAAGCCACTAATTACTGTGAGAAAGGTAAAAACCGAGTCAGACAGTAAGTCTTAGGAATGTGTACATGTTTAAAAAGTAACTGGCATACAAACTAAAGTGTATGCTTTTTTCCCCCTCTTTAGCAACTGTCACAGACAATACATGTAGCACGTGAATGATCTTTCTTAATTTGTAGATCAAGTATTCTAGTTGTCATGTTTGATACCAGCCTGAAAACAGCATTAGGAAGGCAAACTTTTTTTTGACTATGACTTTTTTTTTTCCAGTGCTGGTAATCAACTCGGGGTCTTGTGTATGATAAGTAAGTGCTCTACCATGAGCCTCAGCCCTAAATATTATGTTTTAAAAGAATGTGCCATCAGAGCTGCCACATTTTGAGCAGATAGGAAATATGTTAAATAGCTAAACAGGGCTATAAGCTTTAGGTCATATCTTTGTGTAGCTATCTGGAAAATGCAAGCTGTGGTCACAAAAGTAGTAAATAGAAAGGGAGACAGATTACTAAAATATAACTCCAGTTACAAGAATATGGATCAGAAACATAAAAAGTAAGACCCAGACCAGGATTTGGATCCATTTTTAAAACTCTTGTAGCTCACAGGAATACTGGGTTTTGTGCCAGAAGTCATTCTCATAGTCTCCTTAATATTGCCTACCACTCCTAACCTGTTTTTTTTTTTTTTTTTGGTCTTCACTATTATTCTTCCCCCCTGTATTAAATAAACTTATCAGCTTATTCTAATTATAGAAAACCCATCTTTAAAGTCTGAAATGGAATGCTTCCGAGTAGTTTAGGAGTTCCATGTACTTTAAACAAGCAATGACAACAAAAGCTCGTGTAAAACAAGCTTGAGCTGAAAATTTTTCTTCCTTAGTAATCTCTTTATATTTCTATTTTAAGTGGGGCACAGAGTTGTTCTCTATACTAATTAGCTAGCTGTTTTTGCTCTGTTTCATGTACATACTTATGAGATACTGAAGTTACACTGATACGTAACTATGTGACACTACATTTCTTAGCCTTTATGCAGCTTGGTTTCCTCATACAAAACACTTCATATTTCAATATCTATCCAAAATTCAAAGCTCCAAGTAAAGAGCAGATATAAAAATGCCTAGAAATTCAGTAGGTTAGGTCAAATTTTCATGTCATGATGGACTTGATCTACACTGCCATTAAGGGATCTTTTAAATCCACAGACCTTTGAATCTTTATAGACATTGTATTACCTACAAATAGGATGGCATGATTTATTTAAAAGTGTTTTTCTTTAAACATTTTTTTAAACTTATTTAAAGCAACATACATTGCCAAATTGTATCCTTAAATTTTTTTGTATGTATGATAAAACAAATGTACTTCATAATATATATAACTCAAGGCTGAAATCATGTTGAAGGTTTTAAGTGAGCAGCGAAGAGTAGAAACCTATATAGACTGTAACCAAGGGAACAGAAATCTGTTAAATGTTAAAATTCTATCTTGAATCTTTGGCAGAGATGACAAGTGACTTGAGCCTTACCAAGAGAAGTAATAGTGCCTTAAAGCATTTTGAGACTCTAAACCAAGTCCTAATGTTTTTATGTAAGAAATATAGACATCATAGACCAGTAGCTTTATAGTCCCAAACTAGTTTAATTTTTTTATTCTGGTCTGCTGGATGTTTAAAAAGTATCTGAACCAATTTTGAAAACCTGCAGATTCGACATAAAATTCAAATTTTAGCTGTATTGGGCAGTATTTGCTAAACTCGTACTCTCAGATTCTCTAGTCCTTACTGTTTCCATTGCTCCCCTTCCCTTATCAGCTCAGCAGTTAAGCATATCTAACATTTAACTTGCGGTAAAATACAGATCCACTACAACACATTATATGCCAAATTGTCTAACTGTACCAGTTGTGCAGTGATTGACTTTTGTTTGGTTTTTAGTTGTAAACCTAGTCTTTAATGTTTGTGCCATCTCTCCAACTTCCCCTCCCTGTCTTGAGACAGGCTCTGGATGCAGTTGCTTAGGTTGCTTTGGGACTCCTGGGCTCAAGTAATCTTCCTGCTTCATCCTCCAGCGTAGCTGGTACTATGGGTGAAAACCACTGAACCTGGACTACTAGGCACTAAGATTCAAATCCTAGAGATGGAAGCACCAGAAGCAATCCTATTATATAAAGGATATTCATTGTTAGGGCTCTTAAAGTAAATTCTTTTGTGAATTCATTAAGCTCGCTCTTTCAAAGTAAATTCAGTTTGGCTGGTGCAGTTTCAAGGGGGCATGGCATAGAATTGTAGGAACAATGACAAAAATTATCTTGTTACAGTCAAAAGTTGAAGTTAAATGAAGACTGAAATTTCAAAAGCATAGATTTTGGAATAGGGAATGGGGCAGTACTGGGGATTAAATTTAGGGCCTTTTGTATACTAGCCATGCATTCACCACTGAGCTACACCTCCAGTTCCATATAGATTGTCCAATGTAAGCTAATAAGGAAAGGTAGAGTGAGCCCTGAAAGACTATGTTTCCCAGCAAACATACAGTAGTAACACCCAGTTTTACTCAAGCAATTGCCCATATGCCAGTGGAGTATGGACTGATAACATTCATGTGGAGAAGCCAACTGAAACATCAGGTATGAGACAGTTGGAGACATAGTAGATTCTCTTCTGCTTTGCTCGCTGGCATCTGCTAGTATAAATGTGTTGCAACATGCTCAATTTGGCTAATTAACTCAGACTCATGTTAATAAAATGTGTGGTGTCTAGTTTCTGAAATGTGCCTAAGTCTCAGAACAGGAACTGTTCATGGGGGAGCTAGATGATGTCATAGGCACTGGAAGACTCCAATAGCATATACTATTAAGTTCATATTCATCTCATGTAAAATACTGTTCTCTAATAACCTGTTTTAAAATTCAGTTCTAGGTGACAGTCTTAAAAATATTAACCTTTAGCCTTGTGAAAAAGTTAATTAGTAGCTGAGATAATTGGTTAGCTATTTCCACAGTATGTAAGGAAAGAGAATTGATAGTTTACATTGTTTTCTAAAGCTCATTCCTCAAATCTCAGATTTGTGCATAAAAATCTTGTTTTATTATTAAAAATGTACACTTTTTTCTAAAGCCCTCCAGAATCAATGAATTGGAATCTTTTGTTTTTGACATTAAACTTGGAGAACTGTCTCTCTCTCATTGATCTTTAAATATTTAATGCCTAATATGTGCCTAAATTATACTGCTTTAGAAGTTAATAACAATCATACTCTGACCACATTCTGTAAGCTATGAGGCAAGCTAAAGTACTTCACATAATATTTGAATTCTGTTCAAATTTAGCCCATAGACATTAGCTAGTGAATGGTCATATTCCCGAAATCCAGGTCTGATCCTAAAACCTAGTCTTAACTACTATATTATTTAGCCTTCTTGAATTACGTACTAAGTTAAAATTGTTTCAAAATCACGTATGAGCACTCTTCCTCCTATACAAAGAAAGCAACTATTGAAACATGTTATTTTAACTTTCAGTATGGTAGCTAAAAACATTCTACACTAACCTAAGAGATTTCTTTTCACTTTCAAGATGAAAAATAAGTATAGGGTAGGAGGAATACATGAGCTTTGCATTCTTGGGAGTTTTCTTCTTGTTTATAATTTATAAACTAAATTCCACAGTTCTCTATCTACCAGGCAGAGAATGTTCCTAATGAACTAAGTGTTAAGCATAATCTTGATTTTGCAATTTTTAATAGGCAATGCTTACTACCAGAAAGCTGTCATAGAAACCACAGGACCAATTAGATCGTGCAGAAGAATTTCAGGGAGAAAATAACATTGCCTCAATTGGATTGTGGCCAGGTGGACAACAGTTGCTGTGGTATCTGCTGTGATAACATCAAGGTTCATGGATTTGAATTACAGAGCTACACATCTTTCAACAGCAGTCTGGAGGGTGCCAGGACTTGAAACTCCAGAAACTACGCTGACATCAGTATACTTTGCTGTAGATTTCATTGCACCAGCTTCAACCACAGGCGAAGTAGCAACATCTATTAAAGGGAGACAGTCTTTATTGCCAGCCCAGGGTACCAGGGTACTCTATAGACACAGGCAAATTAAATGTCAAACCCTTAGCATGCTAAATTGGATGGACTTCACTAGTAACACACGGCAAGGGTACATATAGTTGCATTTGAGAACACAACTGGGAAAGTAAGAATACTGATAATGTAGTCATGAACAAGAAAGGCTTAAGCCTCTGGTCTAACTTTAGGTCACATGAAGTAAGGAAAGGGATCCCTTTTTCAACAGTACCTCTGGGTTGATTTCTTCAAAATGTCCATGTCACAGAAGGGAAGAAGATGGGGACAGTTCTAAAGTTAGAGTGGTAATGTCCATGTACAATACAACACTTTTGACAGGACTGTGATTTGTATATTCTCTATGTTACAAAATTGCTAATTTTCTTGGTTGTAATGATACTGTATTTTTCAGTTTCTCTATTTCAAAATTCTTAGGAAATTCATGTAGGAAATCTTAGAGGTGTCTGCCTAACAGCAGACCTATAACCTATTTTTAAATAGTAATAAAGTAGGAATGTGAAGAGTAAGGAAATGTGTATATAGTAGAATGATAACAAGTATTTTACATAGGTAAATGGTGTATGTCTATACAGCCTCTGAGCTTTTCCCCTCCCTTATCCTTCCCCCTTTTTTTGAGAGAGGATTTCACTATGTATCATAGTGGCTTTGAACTTGAGATTTTCTTGCTTCAGCTTCCTGAGTGCATTACACCTAGCTCTTTTAGCTTTGTAATGTCTGAACATTTTCACAATAAAACATGCGGGAGGGGGACTATGCTGTAAAGATTTCAGAGGTTAAAACTAAGAAAACACTGAGTATCAGGGACTATGCTCAATTTCTGATATAGTGAAGAACAGTAACACTGCTAGGAGTGTCTTAGACATCCAGGACATAGCTAATTATGCAACATTTTGTCAAGGCACCATTATGTTCAGAGCAGGTGAATCTCATACAAACCATTTTATTCAGGCATAAACATGGTCATGAAGTTAAAAATACGTAAACAGCTGATACATTAAATAGTGACTATTATAAGATATGTAAGAAGTGCTATATAAACTCGGAAGAAATCACTTCCTGTTGGAATTTGGAAACACATCTCCAAGGATTACAGAATCATGGACAAAAACTCACAAAAGGTGACAGCAGACTAACCCCAGAAGAGACAAGAGTACTTCATTTTTGCCTGGAACATAGGTAGAGAAGGTAGATTTGCACTCTCATTATCGATTGGTTAGTTATAAGCAATTCTTTTTTTTTTTTTTTTTTTTTGGTTTTTCGAGACAGGGTTTCTCTGTGTAGCTTTGCGCCTTTCCTGGAACTCACTTGGTAGTCCAGGCTGGCCTCGAACTCACAGAGGATCCGCCTGGCTCTGCCTCCCGAGTGCTGGGATTAAAGGTGTGTGCCACCACCGGCCAGCTTATAAGCAATTCTTAATTTGCCTGAAAATTATCTTTTTCTTGTAGTTTTAGGTATTCAATAAATTGAATATAAATATTAGAACGACTGACTCCCTGACTCAAAAAGCCAACAGAAGGAATCGCATGAGATAATGTCTTGAAGGGGACACATAAAGCATGTTAAGTGTTCTTTAAAAGGAGATTCATAAGCATTAAGTTGTTTGTTAAATCGTAGACACCCACGACTACTACAGTATACCCTTAAAAAGAGCCCAGAAAGGGGAGGCAGGACAAAAAAAAAACTGGCGGTGGGAAGGTCTTGTTTTGCTGGTTGGCTAGAAAGTCATCTTTTTCTTTGATTGTTGGGGTGAAAATTGATTCCTTTTTGTTCCTGAAATGTACAGACTCTAAAGGTCAGGGAGTACTGTACTTGATAGGAACTCGTGGAGGCGTGGTCAGGAGCTCCGCTTAGCAGTTGCTTGGGCCCAGGCTCCTAGGTTGCCTTTTGGGCCAGCCCAGGCGGGGAACCGGCCTCGCCTTACCGGGAACCTTAGAGGGGCGGAGGGAAGGCTGGCCACCGCCCCACCAGCCGGAAAGAAAACCCTCCGCCAGCGGAAGCAGCCTTGGGCCTTACTAGTCTTCCCAGGGCTCCCTCCACGCGGTTCCTCCGGCCTGGCCGGCCCGCCGCGGGCCGTCGCGGGCACTCACCTCACTACTCAACCTTGGGAGCGGAGGCACCCCCGGGGCGCAGGCTGGGGCGATGATTCCACCTTCTGGCTATGACCCTACTAGGAAGTGCCAAGCGCAACTTCCGGCGCGAGGGAGTTTTGAAGCTCTAAATTATTTCTTCTAGGTGAGTGATCAGGGGTCTCAGTAAAGGGCCTGAAAACAAAACCTGCAGTTCCGGAGTACGAATTAACTCGTCTACCGTGGGCTGTCAGGTCACTTCTTCTGTAGGTATACTTACGGGTTCGTTCCTTCCCAGACCGCTCCGCTGTTGCCCGGGGTAACGGGGACTGAACGAAGGAAACGTGAGTACGTCAGACGGGAGACAGGAAACGCCTCTTGCCATTATCAATTATGGCTGCCCGGACTTCACCCGTAACCTCCGACTGGGAGTTGTTGCTCTAGCCGGCTGGAGGCTTTCTCTGTGGCAGAGCTAGCCAGCGGCGCCCAGTGGGCGGGCGACGGCGCACAGCCGCGGAGGAAAGGAAAAGGGCGGGGAGAGGGAAGCTGGCGCCAACGACTCTCTCTGATTGGACGGCTGCCTTCGCCCTGGCTCCGCCCATCCGCTCTCCCTAGCGAATGCCGGGCTTGCTCGGGAGGGCCGGGGCGGGGCGATTGGAGCCCGAGTGTGTGGAGGGGCGGGGCGAGTGGGGGAGGGGCGGGGGGGCGGTGGCAGGGGAGCGTCGCTCTGGGAGCGGAGGACTAGGAGGAGGAGGAGGAAGGAGGTGAGCGGGGATGGTGGAGTCCGGGCTCCAGCCTGGGGCGGGAGAGGCGGAGGGCGCCTTTGGGTCCGTCCTGCCGCCCTCCTGCCTGTCGGGCAGTCGGGCGGGCCGTCGGGAGGGGGAGGCCCCACACGTCCTGACAGGCGCGAGCCTCCGGGGCCGGGCGCGGCCTGAGGGGTCGGGGCCCTGGGAGGCGCCGCGGCCGCTTTCCGGGGTGCTCCGGCCCGGGGCCCCGGGTCCTGGGAGCCGCTGCTCGCACGGGGCCAGCGCGCGGGGCGCCGAGAGCAGCCGGCCGCCCCTGACCGCGCCGGGCCGGGCCTACTGCGGAGAGGGCGGCCGGGACAGCCCCGGAGCTCGGGCGCGGGCCCGGGGCGGGCGGTCAGTCGCGCTGGAGCTGCTCTGGGCTCTGGGCGCCACCCGGCGGGAGCTTTGGCCGGCGGGGGTCGTGGGGACGGCTGGGGCGGGCTGGCGCCGGCCGGGCGCGGCGGCGGGGCGGCGGGGTGGGGTCTCTGCGCCTCCTCCCCGAAGCCCTGGGCGCTGGGCGGTCTCCTTCCCACAGACCCTGCGTGCCGAGTGGTGAATTGGCTTTGGGTGTGTTGCCGGGTGAAAGGAGTTGCGGCCGCCGAGACCGCCCTGTTCAACATGCCTGATGGCAATCTCCGTGCTGCCTTTGAGGGCTGGAGGAAAAGTAGTGTAACTCCCCGCCCCCAGCTCGGAACGCCGGAGGCTGCAGGGCAAAACGATTTTCCCCCAGCCCCTCGGTATCCATTGTTTTGTACCATCCCCTCCCCCATGCCTAGGTAGGAGACTAAGGACTCCAAAGCAGTCGTTCGCCCGCCTCTCCCCCTTTCTCTCCCCCCTTCCCTCTCTTTCCCCGTTCCCTTTCAGAGGGTTTGGGTTAACTGTGCAAGTAGGGGTTTACAAACAGGTGGAATGCTTGTCTATTCGGGAATTGGAAAGAAGATGCTTTGGGGCTGTGTTTTCCATCTCATCTCACCTTTACACTTGCAGATTAGATTTTCTTTCTGTTGGTTTGTGTAAAAGGGGAAACTATTTTGCGACCTAGACCATAATATTCTTGAGGATTGTAGGAATGCTGAAGTAAAAATTAGGTTGCAGATGTGGATTGTGTGCTACACTGGTCTCCAGCATGATGATTAGTCTCTAAGCTTAAACCTGTATAATCTTCTACACTCTTCATAGATGTCAGAAGTTCCAGCATCCTCTCAGAGGGATTGCCGAATCAAAAACTTTGGGTTGCTGTGTTTCAGAATCCTAGGGTATACTTGTGCAACCAAGTGTTTTTGTGTTTTAGTCGTTAGCACTGACGAAGACTTAAGACCCAGATTTATTAGTGCGCTCCTAGTCCTCACTGTCACCCCTCCTTGGCAGGGCCTTTCTAACTGTTTTTTGCTGTGTATTTGAAGAAATTTAGAGATTTGTAAGTCTACAAAATAAATTACAAATATATTTTAATTTATCAAAAAATTTTTCATATGAGTTAAAGATTTTAGATAAATAATTAATATTTAATCATTTTCCACACATGGAGCTTTGGCTGAATGCTTAAAAAGTATTTAAGTGTAAAGTCTTTTAAACTTTTTAAGACAAAGTATTTTTATGTTAGTTTGAGTGTGCATTTGCAAAGTAAAATAGACAAAAGAAGGGTTTTGTCTAAGGTTTGTACCTTTCAAAGGATTAAACATAACAGAAAGCTAACATGAAATCACACTCTTGAAATCTCAGTTTGGAGTTATGGTCTTGGCCTCACTTTAAGAGTACATTTTCCCCAAGATGCTTGTTCAGTTCTGAAGAAACCATATTTGTCTCTGTTGGCATTTGTTTTATGATATGTCATTGTTTTTCTCTTATTATTCAGAAGTTAGTATGGATTGAAAAGTAGTTTAAAGAGATGTATTAATATTTTGAATCCGGATTACTTTTTAGTTTTTTTTTTTAAGATGTCATAATCAGAAAGTAGATCAGAGCTGTTTTTGGTAATTGTAGCAAGTACATATACTAAATCATCATGTGAACGACAAACCAGTCATACATTTGAAGCACTTTATGTTTAAGTAGGAACACAAACATTATTATTTTTGATATGCTTGCAGAAATTCTTTTAAAATATTATCACATTGGGCCGAGGATGTAGCTCAGTGGTAAAGTATTTGCCCTGTGTTTGATTTTCTTAGCCCTATAATAAATAAGTAAAAAATAAATAATAAATAAATAGCTGTACCTTATGTGACTTGGGACAGGATGTAATGGCTCTCCCTGTCCCAGGTATAAACTAGAAGTGTTCTATATGAAACAATCTCATGATGGCTTCTGAACAGTTGCTGAGATATAAATGTATTTGTTTTATATGTATGAGCTTTGCTTGCATGTGTCTGTAGCACATGCATACTTGGCAGAGGCCAGAGGACTTAGATCCCCTGGAACTGGAGTTAGAGAAGGTTGTGAGTGGCCATGTGAGTGCTGGGAATCAAACCTGGGTCCTCTGGTTGAGCAGCCAGTGTGCTTAACTGCTGAGCCATCTCTCCAGCCCTGGAGGTATATTTTTTGTCTTTGATTACCCATTTCAATTGTGAATAAAATTGGGATGTTTTGTGCAAGTAGCCAAATTTCAGTCATACTTGTTTTTAAAATATGCTGAATTATCAATATTTCTTATGTATTATAATATTTCTGAAAGGCTAGTGTTTTTTAAAAGGTAATCCACATATAAAAAGTGGTGGCATTTTAGAACAAAACAAAAACTAGACCTCAGATGTGTAAATGTAAGGGTATGAATATTTAGGGGGTGAAGATGAAATGAAAGAATGTCTCTGAGCTTCAGTTGCTCTGCCCTTCATGTGTCTTTCATGTATGAAGAGGCATAAAAATCTTTAACTAAAACCTAATTCAAACCGAAAAGGCAATCAAGCAAATAGGTTACCTCAGTGAGTTCTGAGGTCTGTAGCTTAGACTTGGTGTAAGACTTCTTGTTTACAAAACTATCTAAATTATTAAGGGAGAGAGTTTAGATATTATATTAGGAAGTGTCAGTGTTTATGTTTATTAGACTCTTAGTGAATGGGTAAATGTTTTTTTGTAAATGAATTGACATTGGCTTTGTAATTTAGCCATAGAATGATATGTAAAGTAATACTTGAAATGAGTCATGTAAATAAGGTTGGTAGATAATTTATTTCTTGTTAGACTTATACCATATTTCATGAATTATGTATTTTGTATTATACATTTTATAATTTATGGCTAATGAACTATCTGCTAATTTTACATTTTTTAACTACTTAGTCTTTTTTTTTTTGTTTTTGTTTTGTTTTTTTTCGAGACAGGATTTCTTTCTCTGTGTAGCTTTGTGCCTTTCCTGGAACTCGCTTTGTAGACCAGGCTGGCCTTGAA